TATTAATTTATAATTATTTGTTAAGTTTTGATTTGTAAAATTTTTTTATTTGTTATTATTTATGTTAAAATAAGAGATTTTGATATGTTAAAATTATGAATCTTAATTGATAGCGATTTATATTAAAATTAGGGATTTTGGTTTGTTGTTGTTTGTGCTAAAATTAGGGATTTGATTTATGCTAAAATTAAAAATATTAATTTGCAGTGATTAATATTTAAATTAGGAATTTTTATTTGTTATAATTTGTGCTAAGATTAAAAATTTTGATTTGTTGTGATTTGTGCTAATTTAAATTTTTTGATTTGTATTAAAATTGGAGATTTTGATTTGTGGGGGGGTTTGAGATTTTGATTATGAATTTTTGTTTTTATTTTTAGTTTTTCCAAACAGTCATGGAGAAATATTTCAAAAGAAAATCAAAGTTGGAATCATCTCTTTCTCAAGAAAAAGATGATAATTATTCTTCTGTAAAACAAAGTCGCATAGAAATCAACTTATTAGACCTTCCTACAGATCCAAGACTACGGCCTTAGATTATGGACTATAATGCTAATGATCGAGACCGAATTTGTAGAACATATCTACAAAAAGGTCCTTGTCAGCCTCGTGATCATAATTTTCCACAAAAATCATTTGGACTAAAACTTTGGCGATTTAATCAGGCTTGGTTTAGTGAATTTCCTAATTTGTTAGAGTATAGCGTAGCAAAAGATGCAACGTTTTGTTTATGTTGTTATCTTTTCAAACCCAAGATTGGAGATCAAGCTGGTGGTGATTCTTTTGTTGGTGAGGGTTTCTCAAATTGGAAGAAAAAAGAAAAAATTCAGACTCATGTTGGAGGTCCCAATAGTGTTCATAATCAAGTTTCGAGTAAATGTCAAGACTTGTTAAATCAAAACCAACATATTGAAACAACTTTTTGCAAACAATCTGATCAAGTTTAAATTGAGTATCGAACCCGTTTGAATTCATTGGTTGATTATATTAAATTTCTTCTAAGATAAAGACTTGCGTTTCGTGGGCATGATGAATCTAAAAATTCAAGTAACCAAGGAAATTTTCTTGAACTTCTCAGGTTTCTTGCTGATCATAATGAAGATGTCAAAGTGGTTACATTAAGCAATGCTCCACAAAATCTCAAGTTGACATCTCCTGATATTCAAAAAGACATTGTAAATATGGCTGCATTTGAAACTATCAATGTGATTATTAGAGAACTTGGTGATACACTTTTTTCTATTTTGATTAATGAAGCCCATGACATATCAATCAAGGAGCAAATGGCAGTTATAATACGATATGTTGACAAAAAAGGCCAAGTGATTGAATGCTTTTTGGGTATTGAGCATGTTGCTAATACGAATGCTCTGTCACTTAAACAAGCTATGGAAAATTTATTCTCCAGACTTGGATTTAGTATTTTCAGATTCCGGGGTCAAGGATATGATGGAGCTAGTAATATGCAAGGTGAGTTCAATGGTCTTAAAACACTTATACTGAAAGAGAATCCTTGTGCATATTATGTTCATTGTTTTGCTCATCAATTGCAATTGACACTTGTAATCGTGGCAAAAAATCATAATCATATTGCTTTACTTTTCACTTTGGTTTCTAATGTGGTGAATGTTGTTGGAGCATCATGTAAACGCCGAGATATTGTTAGGGAGAAGCAAGCTGCAAAAGTTGCTGAGGCACTTAATACTGGAGAGCTATCTAGTGGACAAGGCTTAAATCAAGAAACTAATCTTAAACGTGCTGGTGATACACGTTGGGGTTCACACTATGGTACTTTAGTCAGCTTGGCTAGTATGTTTTCAACAGTGATTGATGTGCTTGAAATGATTTCGGAGGATGGTTCAAATTTAGAACAACTAGCAGAAGCAAATGTATTGTTGGACTCAATTCAATCATTTGAGTTTGTATTCAACCTTCATTTGATGAAAACGATATTGGCTATTACAAGTGAGTTATCGCAAGCACTACAAAGGAAAGATCAAGATATTGTTAAAGCCATGAAATCAAATTTCTAAAGTACGGCTCCAAAAGATGAGGGAGAGTGGGTGGACATCTTTACTTGATGATATTTTGTCTTTTTGTGAAAAGTATGAAATTGATGTTCCCCAAATGGAAGATATGTTTGTAGCTCGAGGAAAAAAAAGGCGCAATGCTCAAGAAATTACAAACTTACATCACTATCGCGCTGAGTTATTCTACACTATTTTGGATATGCAAGTTCAAGAACTAAATGCTTGTTTCATTGAGTTGAACACTGATTTGTTACTTTTTGTGGCATGTTTGAATCCATTTAACTATTTCTCTAGTTTTGACAAGAAAAAGTTAATTCATCTTGCTGAATTTTATCCCAAAGTATTTTCTTTAGTGGAGCTCATGGTACTTAATGATCAACTTGATACATATATTATCGACATGTTATCCAGTAGTGAATTCTCAATATTGAATAGAATTGCCGATCTTGCTAAGAAAATGGTAGAGACTAGAAGGAACAAAGTATATCCGTTGGTGTATTTGCTCTTGACTTTAGCATTAATCTTACCTGTTGCAACTGCTACTGTTGAGAGGGTATTTTCAGCTATGAATATTGTGAAGAATCAGTTACGGAACCGAATGGGTGATGAATGGATGAATGATAGCTTGGTTGTCTACATTGAGAGAGATATTTTTGATGGCATTGACAATGATACTATTATGGAAAGATTTCAAAAGATGAAAACTTCTCGGGATCAATTGTAAAAGTTTAAAATTTAAAACTGTAAAACAAGTATTATAACGCAACGGGTAAAAATTATCGGATCATACCTTAAGTGATGGAACTTGAAGCAAAAAATCTTGTGGATAAATCACGTGCTTTAAAAAATGCAAACAACAAACACCCAGCAGTGGAGTGATACCACAATATGAGTATCACCCACACAAGTCACAGTGCAGAGGCTGGATCATTCTCATATGGGAGAGAGTTAGAGAGAGAGTTTGGAAAAAAGGTTATGGGTAAAAATACATAACGTATCTGATATCAATATATTATCCAAATATATAATTAGATATACAACCATATATATCAATCTATCCATATCAGTTGATATAATAGATATAGATATCAAGAGTGGTTATCCAAATAAGTTTTGAATTCAAATTCAAATTCAAACTTACATGGATAAGGTTCAAAAGGTTCATGGGTCATGCCACATGCCACATGGGCGCCCAATTTCTAACAAAAACTTTTTGTAATAGATATTAATTTTTAATATTTAACATTAGCTCGAAAAATTATTATTATGTTATTGTTACTGATTAGGAAAGAAAAATTTTGAGATTGTAATTAATGGGTGCCCCTCCTATATTAAATTCCTGGCTTCGCCACTGCACCCGGACAACCGTGTATTTGAAATTTGATTTTCCTTTTGCTCAATTTTGGTTGCAAAATAAGCCCACAATCACTTTTTTATACTTGTGCTCAATTTTTAATAATGTCTCAACAATCTTAAGGTTTAATTATCTGGTTTTGTGTTGGAATTTTTTTTTCCCTGAAAAAAAAAAATTTATGTTTTATTTGAGCAAAAATTTGTAAATATATAAAATCTTTGGGTTTAATTTATTTGATTTGAGAAAGTGAAATACATTGATTTTATGAGAACAATGAAACAAAAATGAAGAGAATTGATGAAGATTTGAGGTAGAGAAGCTAGGGAGAGAAACGTAAATTTGCTCTGCTTTCATTCTACATTGAACGAAGAAGATAAGGTTTTATCTTGTGTGGGTGGGTCAGTAATACAACCTAGTATTTTATCCTGTGTGGATGTGTTATTGATATAACCTAGTGAATTATTCAGTGTGGTTGAGTCTAAAATTATTTGTTACATCCTAATTGATTTGAGACAATCTAATGGTTAATTCTTAAATCAGAAATTGTGTTTTTGCTTATATATTGAAATTGATTTGTTTTATTATTCATGGAGATAAATCATTGTGTTGAGATTTTGTGGAAATAGATATATATAGATAAATCATTGTGTTGAGATTTTGTGGAAATAGATATATATAGATAAATCATTGTGTTGAGATTTTATTATTAGATATATATATATATATATATTTCATTACTGCTGTTGATTTTGCAGATTTTGATTCTTGCATAAAAAATCTGTATAACTAATTGTTGAGATTTCAGTTTGTGAAATCGAATTGTAACAGATTTCTGTGCACCTAAGTTATAGCAGTTTTTTTTTTTTTTTTTTAAATTGAGGTTTTACAAAATTTATTTTCTTTTGGTGGGAGTATATTTTTATGGAGAGATTGGGAGAGAAAAGAAATCATTATTTTCATAATACCAATTTTATCCCTATAAAAATAAAAGAAATAAAATGATTGAAAATATAAAAAGGTTATTTTGGTAATATAACATAAAATAATTCATTTTCTTTTATACTAGAAGAAATTTTTATTCAATAAAATAAATTAGTGATAGAGATTTTACGTAAGCAAGTAATATACTCGAAAATTTATGCCTTTTCTAAAATATAGTTTTGCATTATTTGCATAATGTGCTATTATATTGTGTTATAATTTTTCAAATTATGACAACTAAAAAGGAGGGTGCTGAGACTCATCCTATCCCTGTTATTGTCCCAACAATAATGGTGATGCCAACAGTAACTCCGTCAGTATTGGTCAATCATGGGGAAAAAATCAGAAAAATTTGAGAGAATTGATTTTAAAATATGTCAACAAAAATTGTTATTTTATCTTACTACTTTAATTCTGGTTTGAGAAGAGATTCCCATAAAATTGTACCAGAAGATATGAAAGCTATTAAAATCTAGGAATGGACTTTTCACATTGATCTTTTAGGTTATGTACTCAAATATATTTTTCAGTTTTGCGTCTTTTAGGAATTACTTCCAACAGTGCATTGGTTCAGTTATTATAGAGGATAAGGATACAGAAATTTGTAACAAAAAAAGAGATACTACACAAGAAACTAACGAAAAACAATAACCCTGAAATATGAGCCCCTTTAATACAACTTCTTGCAAGTTAACAATTGATAATTAAAAAGTAGAAATTAAAAACACAAACTGTAAATAGAAACTACACTAAACCTTGGCACAAACTACCCAATATATATATATATAAGAAGCTCTACAAACTCTACCAAACAAGGCCATGGTCTATCTAAAGAAAGTTTTCAATGTTCACCTCAATAATGAAAATCTTCTGCCATCATCTAATACAACAAATGATTTTTTGGCCGAAAGATCATGCCAGACCTGTAGGTATGACTCACCATATCCACGAAAAGCGGAAACTGTAACAACGCAAACAGAGTTGTTGCAGGAATGTACGCGACTACCACCATTGGAATAGCAACCCATGACAATTTGCCGTCAAGAACAATAAAAAGGGTGGCACAAAAAGATGTCATCATGGTGGCAATGGAGATAAAGAGGGTCGCAAGCCCTAGAATTAGCTTCCTGGGCAACGAGTCAAGAAAATCTTCTTCAGCATAGCGCGAGGTGAGGATTGATAGGAAGATCAGTAATGAAGTAGCGGATGAGAATAATGCTAGCGCATCTGAAATTGCGAAAACCATAAATGACATTTCTGATAAAAGAATTGGCCGGCCAGTGTCGTTGTCATTGCCGCCTGGGACAGTGAAGGCGGCTGCAAACATCACCGTGGCAATGAGAGTCGCAACCACCATGCATGACGACGCAGTATCCTTCATCCACTTCTCTCCTTCACGCATTAAGGCCTTGTGCTCCTCCGTAAATAGAATATGTGGTGTTCTTCCCTCCGAGTCTTTCATTTCTGTATATAGTGGTTGTACAATCTTTTCTACTTCCTGTAGTTACAACAAGACATAAGTTCGACACCAATGAAACACATTTGATTCTGTTTTCGTTGTTGTTTTCTGTATTTTGGGAAATGAAACAAGAAAAACACATGTTTTCGGATCTTTTTCATTTTGTGCGAAAATAATTTTCAAAAAATTGAAAATAACTTTTTCATGTTCCTTAAAAAATGGGTTGTTTTTAGAAAGTTTATCCGAAAACTGTTTTTGGAAATAGTTTGTCAAACAATTTTTGTGTTTCCGAAAATAAAACACAACCAAACAGGCTAGGGGAAAACTGTCATTCTTTCCCTGGGAAAAATGTGCCCAATAGACTAGTAATAATAATAAATAGTTTAGCAGGAAAAATAGTAGAGTATAAAAGACCCCCCAAATAAAATACAATTAATTTTTGGTTTGCATTTTTTTAATATCACTATGGTGGGCCGAGTGGAGAGAAGTAAACCTTGAACCATTGCAACTCTCGTCGCAGTTGCAAAGCCGCACCAGAATCCGTTTTGAGTCGATTTGAGGGAGCTAGCTTTCCAGCCAAATGCAGCATGTTGACATTGTTTTCATCTTTGTAAGCTGCAATCAAATCCTTTAGAGCACCTATCTCATATATTAGGTTGAAAATCTTTTCCTGACGATGTGCAACCGCAACATGAAATATACTTCGACTTTGGTCATCAACTTTCCAGAGTAGATCAGGATATGATCGAATAAGCACAGTAATGAACTCCACAATGCCCAACTCAGCAGCGGTAAACAATAATCGAGAAGGAGTCCTGATTAACTCCCCGATTTTTGAGTCATCTAGTAACAGAACCTGGTCCCACAATCGCTTCACGAGCTCCACAGCTTGGGTATGCATAAGCTTTTTGTCACACATCACCTTGAATCCTGGAACTGCATGCAGTATCAAGTCAAACAGAGCTTGTGAAACATGAGAAATAGTAGGCTTCCAACAAAGAAATTTTGGGACATTCCAAAGTAGAACTTTCAAGATGAGAACTAAAATGGAGAAATTAAGGAACCGAACTAAAAAGATGATTAGAAGTTTATGTGTTCTTTTGGGTTATGGAAATTTTGGTTCAATCGTAAGAGCATCTTTTCATAATATTTTTATTCTCCCTCCTAATTGGTTCTCAAGCTCCAGATTATTCTTTAATGAAAATACACAATCACATCTACAATATTACCAATAAATGTTAAATAAAATGTTCCATCCCATGGTGAATTCACACATTTAAGGGACCCATATATGTGTCACTGTAAATTATATTTATTTCGTTTTTAGATCTTTTGGATTTTCAAAAGGTTCTCTACGCATTTTTGTTGTAAAAGAAGATTCATGTAATTTTTAATCATATAATGGATTAGGAATCAAACCTATTTTGCTATCTTTTTTTCATTACACTCACATTACTATGTGCTAATCTTATGTAATTTCCAACATTCAAAAGATAAAGACCAGCAACTTTGGTTCCTTGTACACGAAAACAACCATTACCCAATAGAAACCTTATAATAATGAAAAAAAAATCAGAATCCTTTCCATCTACCCATGGCACAAACAGGAGGAGACTACATCTTACGTTAGACTTGAGACACATACAACACATTTGTGGGAGGTTTTGTCAAGGGAACACAAAAATTGTACGCCACTTTTGTTGCTACATATAACCCTATAAACCTCTATATTTTTGCTATTGTTCAAGCCACAAAACCAATTAAAATCAGCAACAAAAGCCTACTTTAGGACTGCCACAAATCCAAGTTAGGCTCACTTACTAGCAGAAGAGAGTTACCTACACCCGTCCTACGTCAGAAAAAGGGTTTCACGGTGTACCCCTAAACTGTTTTTGTCATTGTCACTCTCCTGCAATTGTTGCCTCTTAGCAGTCTCTCTAGATTGAAATGATTTGGTGTCCACAACTATTAAGTATCAACAAATATTAAGTATCATACTCTAATAAAAACTTGACAAGTGAAGATTAATAGAACAATGACTAATCCACTATAACAATAACACTGGCAAGTTGCAACAAGGAAACAACAGTCAAAATTACTAACATGAGTAGAGGCACCTCTGCCAGACTGTAAGCTGATTTCCGCTCAGAAAGGCTGACGGCTTTCGAGCTAAAACATGAAGTGCTGTGTCCCCATTTCCATCCCGAGCCGTAGCTAATTCAGGGTGCTGCTGAATTATATTCAAAGCTACATCTGGTAAATTAACAGAAACTAGTCATTACTCATTATTTTCATATTTCCTTTTCAATAGTGTTTAGCTGATGAGTGAATCATAATTGACCAGTCATTAGTTTAGGGAAGCTCTGCCATTTATTTCTAAAAGATCAACCTAGTCACGTAGGGTACACTCAACGGCTCAGGTCACAACTTTCCCAAATAAAGAGACCCAAGTTCGAGTCTATTTACCTTACCCATCAAAAACAAAAAGATCAACCTAAATTTAGCAAAGAAGCATACCTTAAAATAAGAGGATTAAAAGACACACACACACACACACACACACATATATATATATAGTATATATATTTCCTGCACAGATGAGACCAACCTAAGATGGCCCATGAAGGCGGGATGGCTAGTTTAGGTAGGTGTTGAAGACAGGCCTGTGTGTTAATTCCAAGACCTCATGCTGAGGAAAGTATATAATTAAAGGCAAAGAATGGTATGGATGACTGTATTTCAAGTTACTTGCAGCAACTAAAGATCTCTGTAGCATTTTTTGCTAATTCAGGGTATCTCCCACCCAGCCCAGCCCAACTACATCCAAGTTACCTCATACCTAGACAGCCGAGAACTAATCCCTAGAGGCCCTAACGTTAATGACCAGACAAGCCTCCAGTGGCCCCCTTAGGAGACTCGAACTCGAGATCTCGGATCTTATTCTCAAGTATTTACTGCTCGACCAACCCCATGGGGTTAAAGATCTCTCTAGCATGGTTTAAAGTTTTATTTATGTATTTATTATTACTATTATTATAGTTTTTTTAAAAAAAATTTGTAGCATGGTGAAAGTTACTGACCAAATAAATTGGCAGTGATAGTAGCAATAAGTAGACCAATGCAATCTTCCTCAGTCATGATTTCTTTTTCCGTCACAGAGTAGAGATACAAGACCATGTCTCTATGTCCCAACAAAGCAGCCATATACAGTGGCAGGGCTCCTCTACTACCTCTAATTGAAGGCAAAGTTTTACTCTTATTCACCATCACTTCAGCAATTTGTCTGATTCCGGATGCAGCAGCAAAACAAAGTGCTGTGTTTCCTACCTTGTTCTGAAGTGCCAAGTCTTCTGGTTTCATCAATTTTACTAGCTCCTCTACAAACCTCGTGTGTCTTGCCCCAGCTGCAATATGAAGAGCAGTTTCTGAATTCCTTGTAATCCTAGCACGCAGTGCTAGTGGATTAAATTCCAGAAAATCTTCGGCCATTTCCCAATCACCTTTGAGGGCAGCTAAATATAGGACGACATATGTTCTACGACCACTGCCTTTTATCTCCCCTGAAAAAATTCAAGCATCAACACCCATGTTTGCACCCAGGCCAGTAGTTGAATTTAGAACTCAGAATAGAAAGCAGACAGAGATAGCTCAAATATATTTTTCTCAAAAAAAAAAAAATTCCATTGATTGATGTTCTTCTGACAAGCACAGATATCCTAGCATAATATGTGATAACCTAAACTTTCTGTGACATGCAGCATGCCAGTCCTAGATTCCCAAAGTTGGTGGCTGCCATGTTACCCCCTTGATTAAGTCACATGAATATTAGGAGACCTTGTAATAACTGTTCATTACCAAAGATAGAGAAAAAGTCAAAGCTGTTTTGCATTTGTGGCTCAATCTTATTGGTGTTCAACATAGATTTTGATGATAGTAAACAATTATTTCTGGAAAATACTATTCTTACAGCTTTCTAATAAAGAAGGGGCAATTTTCTCATTTGAGAAAGCAACCAAAGAGGCTGTGGTAATACAGCTTCGCATCTTTTTTCCTTAACTTGTACTGGTGAGGAAAGTCTTATATGATATATGAATTATCTTCTACTTCCATTCTCCATGAAAACAAATTTCATCACTCCCGTTATCTTTTGCATTAAGGTTGTCCATACATTGCCGAGGGTCAAGTTTTCAGAAAAGGGCAATCAATACATACCAAAGAGACATAAAGGTTTCTACCCATAACACAGTATTAGAGATTTAAATCGATAAACATAATTTTCAATGCATGTATGATTCAGATTTTTGCTTACAGATTAACATGTCAACCATAACCAAATTCTGCACAAGAAAATCAGAAGGCATCAAAAATCCATTAGTCACTGTTGGTAGCTAGGAGGGATGAATTGGGTACAGGGTAGACTTTTTAACTTCTGACATTACTTGCACAAAGTGGAGGTCCTTAGACTTGAACCCACATTCTTAGGCTTGACATTCCAACAAACAATGTTCCCGCAATGCAAAACAGTGTCAAAGAAGCATTTTATCCAATATGAATCATGCAAAAAGAATGTTCATCATGTTCTGAAAGCCCAAATAATCCTCAAAGAACTTACCAGAAATTCCACCTGAATAAGGCACTGTGGCTAGTGGAAAATTAGTGAAGCTATCTGCCGCCTCAAAGTCAGTGCTTTCACTCATCAGAGGATAGCCAGGATCAATTTGTCTCGTGGATTGATTTAAACTGACATGGGTACCACTTCCTCCCACTTGCCGAACAGTAGCCAAGTTTGAATCTATTTGAAGCACTTGAACACCGGGATTAGAGTTCTGTGAGTCGGAAATCGATGGGTATAAATCAGTTATTTCTGGTGGCACTGCTGGAACAGAGAGTTTACCACTATGGGAAGCTGGTGAAATCTCACGGTCAACTTCGTGTGGCGAGATGTTGTCCTCGTTATACAATTCATTGTAAGAGCATTTAATGCTTATTCTAGTATCATTGTCCTCAGGAGACTTAGCATCTGCAGACTTTGCTTCCGGGAAGCAAGATTGAAAAGAGAGACTCCTTCCAAATCGTGATAGAGCAAACTTGTTTGATATCATACCCGCTCTTCAGCATATGAAACAGATGTGACATGGTAAGTACATTTTTTAAATTAGATAAAGCATGGTGTTGAGGATATACAACACAAGGGTCACCAATATTAAAATCCAGTCATTTATGATTATTATAATAGGCCTGAGTTGACAATTCATACTGACGCAGAGTTGAATAGGTAAATACAGGCCTTCTCATTTACCAAAAGGAGAAACATAATACAGAATGAATCCAACTTCTCTCCATTTGGGGAGAGGACTAGACCCATCCAGTTCGGTCCATTGGGCTCACCACAAGCCCTAAATTTGATATTCCGAACTATTCATATTTTTGGACTCTATGAGTAGATAATTTGTGAAAAAATCAGAATTGATCCAATAATTGTGGCCACATGATTCATCATACTTGTTTTAAAAAAAAATGGATGACATGTATGATTTTGAAAATAGACGGCCTATTTTTTTAAGATAAATATGATGAAATCACATCATATATATATATATATATAAAATTAAAGTAGTGTTTTTTCTATGCTTAAGTAACACATTATAAGGGCTTACTTTTTTTTTTGTTTTTTCTACGAGAGCCACGTCAGCATATATTTTCTTAATTACATATAAAATTCTATACAAATTCAATCTTAATTTAAATTATACTAAACTTTATCCTATGAAGCACAAACACGGACACGTGACACGACAAGGACACGTGGACATGTAAATTTTCAAAAAATGGGGTACATGACACGTTAGGGACACGTTCAATATATATAATTAAATTTATTTATTTTATGTCATAAAATTACGAACAAAAAAAATTAAAAGGCAGAGAAAATAAATAAATAAATAAACTAATCAATCGAAAAAAGAATATAAATAAATAATAAATAAACAAAAAAAAACATAAATAAATAATAGAGATAGAGAGAAAAGTCACACAACAAAAAAAAAAAACAATATAACAAAGAATATCACAGAGAGAGAACGAGAGAGAGAGTGAATCAACATATAAAAGGAAAAAGAAAATGAAGAGAGAGAGAGAGAAGTCAAAGAAGAAGAAATCGAAAGAAGAAGAAATTGAAAGAGCAAATAAAGAGAGAGAGAGAGAGCGACTGACATACATAGCTCAAAAAGTAGAAGAAGATCGAAAGAAGGAGAAGATCAGAAGAAGAAGATCGAAAGAAGAACATACCTTCGCAAGAGCAACGAGTTGCCTACAGCCTTCTCTCAGCCTTTTCTCCTCTTTCTGTTAGAAATCAAGGCTAGGGCTTGGTTTAATTTTTGAGGAACTTATTCACCCAAAAAAAATTTTTGAGGAACTTACCAATAAGTCCCATATACAAAGTTCAAGACCCATCTAATCCTCAAATAAAACACTTGCACCAATTAGTCCTATGTATTTTTAATTGTGACCAAAATATCCTATATATATTTTTTTTTAAATTTACAAACACTGTTACATCAAACTACCGTCGGACTTCCGTTAAACGATCACCGGAGACTCATCAGAATGTTCAATATCACCGGGAAGTCGCCAGAGTATCGCCGGAAGTTCACCGGAGTGTTAAGAACGTTAATGGAAGTCACCGGAATGTTCAGAACGTTCACTGGACGTTAAGAATATTATTGGAGACTCACTGGAATGTTTAGAATATTGCCGGAAAAAAAAAAAGAATAAATGGAGAAATTAGAGCGAAAAAACATAACAAAATGTACTAAATATTGATAAACTAAAAGAAAAAAAAATGAAACGACAAAAACTGGCAACAATGGGAAAAAGATACGCTATTTTTCAATTTTTGTAAGGTTTAAGCAAATAATCTCAAATATTGATCAAACTGAAAAGTAAGTTTTGAAAATGTAAAATGTTACAGTTTCAAAGCAAAAATCTATTAAGCATTTATCCTTATTAATCAAACTGAAAAACATGTTATGAAACTGTAAAATTTTACAATTCTAAAGAATGTTATGAAACCATGAAATTTTACAGTTTTATACCATGATTCATTCCAGTACCAAAAAAATTTGAAACTGCAAAATTTTACAGTTTTCACCGCCTGTAACTAAAACTCGAAAACAACTTGTTCAGAACTTGAAAAATTTTCTCCATTAGAATAGAAAAAGAAAAGTGTATAGCAGAGAAAATGTAGAAAAAAATAAGAGATCGAAGGAGAAAGGCGGATATAGAGAGAGGATTGAATTCCGACAACTATTTTTTGTTTAGATCTAACCAAATCTGATGTAAATCTATTCAAATCTAATGCAGATCTACATCAGATCTAAGTAGATCTACTCATCTTTTTCGTCGGAAACAAATCTTCTTTACCGTTGGTGAGGGTGAAGTAAGAAGTCGGCAGTCGGTGGTTGTCGGTGAATCCTAATCGATGGTAGTCGTTGGTCGCCGGTGACTATATATCAGAAAGAAAAAGAAAAGAAGCAAGATTTGGTTACCCATCAACGATTGCCGGAAATCACAAAGAGCAAAAGAGGCAGAGAAGAAGAATAATGTTATAGGACTTTTGGGTATAAACAAAAGGTTATGGGATTAAATAGAATACACATTTTTCAAAAAAGACTTCTTGGTAATTTTCCCTTAATTTTTTCAATTTTTGTTTTTACAAATTGACCCCCACTTGAAGTTTAAAAAAAAAAATTTTGACCCCGCGGTGTCCGAAACGTGTCCGGCTACAAAAAAAAAAAAAAAAAAAAAAGGGACACTTTTTGTGACGTGTCGGGCACCCATCCACCGCGTGTCCGACATTGATACGTAGCCCTCGGAGAGGTGTTTGCGCTTCATAGACTTTACCTATTTTATATAGACTTTATTTGACAAATATTTTTCTTCCATATATTTTGATAAATTAAAATAATCCACAAACTCAATACCAATTTTTGATTTTACGTTTTTCTTCTTAATTCTTTCAATGGTATTATTAGGATATATTTTTTTAATGCTAAATTGTTTTTTTTTCTTCTTATTTTCCCATTCATTATTCTATATAGTATACCCAATATCAATTATATATTTTTCTACATTATGGATTTGTCGTTTAAATTTTATAGTGATTCTATATATGAAATTATACTTCATTTCCTATATTATTTTATATAATCACAACTCACGAAAAAAAAAAAAAAACTGCACAACAGTGATACTCTCGAGGAACCTCTAAAGTTTGGATTTAATGCTTGAGTTACTTTTTCAATTGTTGAACAGTAAATTCTTTTATATTTTGATATTATATTACAGATGATTAATCATTTCACGCACTAAGTTGTATTTATCATTTGGATGTTTTCATTATTTTTTCTTTTTAGGTTTAGATATTGTTATGTGATTCTTTCTTGATTAGTCGTTGTTGAATTTCTTTTATATATTTAATATTTTAATTTAATTAAGAGTGTTTATTTTACAATCTTATAATTTAATATATATATATATATATTAAATAAAATCATAATCCAACTACATATTTATATTTAATTTTTTTAATAAATTTTATATAATTTCTATTTCTACATATTTTTATTTTCCAAATGAATATAAAAGAAAATTAAATAGTTAGAATTACTTTTAATTTTATGTTACTAATTCTTCTTCTAATTTAACTATTATTTTTAATATCAAAATGAATATTTATTTTACTATTTTATAATTTAATATAATATCATACAAAATTATTATATGATAAATATACTTTTTTAATACGATAGAACTAAAATTATCGAAATACACAAACAAGTTAACTAAAATTAATATATATAAATATTCAAGTAACAATTTTATAGAACGATAGTGTCAATATTATCAAAATAAATAATTAAAATCATACTTTAATTTTAATTTTAATTTTAATTAAAATTAAAATTATTCTTTTATAATACACGTTATACCATCAAATATTTTTTGAAAAAAAAAAATATCACGCCCATGGCACGGGTCAACTGCTAGTGCCTACTATTATTGAATCAATCTGATTTATTTCATTGATGGCACACAAGGGTCCAAAAGATGAACAGATGTATCATCAAAATAAGCCTGTGGTAAGCCCATAGGGTCGATTTGAACATGGACATCTTTCATTCGAACATGGGACCTTCTAAAATTTGGCAGAGCAAGAATAAAATTTCAGTGTGCTTATCATTCAAATGCTTCCCTTCTCAATTCGAATGCATGCTGGTCATATGGAAATCTGGCTTACATCACATAGTTTTTTATTTTTTTATTCCTATTCACTACATGATTCCATTGGACCTATATATAATTGTTGGAAAATACTATTCATTCAAAATCTTTACACAAAATTCGTCACCAAAGTCATTTCACATTGTACTCATTATTTCATATTGTTTTCTTTTTTATTTTATTTTATTTTTTGGTTGCAAAAAATAGTTCCTAAAAGAGTTTTAGGAAACAGATTCTAAAAACAAAACCAAATATAATGGAATTTTTTGAAAAAATACAAAACAAATCAGAACATGTTTATGTTTTCTGTTGTAAAACTGGCAAGTTACCAAATTTAACCTACACACTCTTGCCATACAAATTCAATGCAGAACCATGTTATCCCCTCAACTTTCTTGGCAACCAAATAGTTATGCGTTAGGCTTCTCTCAATTTCAAATCTAAATTTGAGAGAGCTTGAGAGGCTTGTAGGGCCCACCACAATTCATGTTTCCATAATCCAAATAGTTCATTTTGCACTTCGTGTCTATCATCCATTGAAAAAAACTAGGACAATCCGATAATCATAGTCTTCTTAGTTTATTATATTTATCTCCAAAAAATTTAATTACCTATTTTTAAAAGCATATTTATCGTTTATTAGAGCCAGAAAAAATAAAAACATTACGAATATTAGATCAACATAATTTTTTCATTCGGACCATCAAAACAGAACCATGTGGGGGGTATACAAGCCCATCAAGTTCTGTCCAAGTTCAGATTTGAACTTGAAACCCAACGCTAGATGGATATATCAAAGTAGATGCAATGCACAGCACAGCACAGCACGGTTTAAATCCCATCAAAAGAGAAAGAACCCAATTAAAGAATTGAAAAATAAATAGTAATAAATACCTGGGGAGAGACCCAGCAGATCGAAGACTGTGCAGTTTGGGGGAATTGTACGGAACACAGACCCAGAGGCTGAGGCAGAGGAAACAGAATTCAAGTTAGTTCTCTAGTTGCAGAGTTTGAAATAGAAAATACAACAACAGAATCTACATATATATATATATATGTACACATACATATAAAGAAAGAAATGTATGATTGGTATGGTTGTTGGAAGCAAAGTCGTGAATTTGAGTCATTGACAAAGAAGAGTGAGTGAGGAGTGAAATGCACAGAAATTACAAGGCGGAAAGGAGGGAGCGAAGACTTCTGGGAATCCATTGTTGGTTTTGGAAGGGGGGCACGATATCTCCGCGTAATTTCTAGCCCTAGCTGGCCAGCAGAGAACGAATCAAACTCAAACTCTCCTCACTTTGTGTTGAAAAACGAGTGGAGTTTTCGAATGTTCACACTGTTTGCTTTGGATTTTACAAAAATAATTTTTTAATTTATTTTTTTTTTTTTCATTTACGTATAAAAATTGTAGACTAAAAAAAAAATTTTTAAATTCACTAAATATAGAAAAAAGTTGAGTTTATTTTATAAATCTTAACATAAAAGAATTTAAGAGACCCATAGATCTCATTATAGGTCCCGTTTTGATGATATGAATTTTTTATTTTATAAATCTCTCAATGTATATCATTCATGAAAAAGATTAAGTCAATTCAATAATTATAGCATTTTTATTTTATTATGTTTGTATCTAGAAACTAAATAATGTTATATAAACTAATTAGTATACTAACTAGTATACCAACTAATGTACCAATTGATAATGTGGCATAATTTAAGAGGTTTTTAGTATTTGTAATGTGATTAATGAGAAAGGTCAATAATAATGTCATAACTAGTGTTGGTACACTAATTAGTATATTAATTAGTGTATTTAGCACCACCGCTAAAAATTAGATGGTCTATTTTTTAAAATATATTTGCCGAATATTTTTTTGGAGACAAATATAATAAAATAAAAACATTACGATTATTGAAAATATACTATTTATTTTATTAGAGACAAATACAATAAAATAAAAATATTGCGATTATTAGGTTGAACTATTTTTTTCATGAATATACAGTTCAAATCATTAAAACGGGACTTATGATGGATCTTACAGGCCCCACAAGTTCTCTCACATTGACATATGAACCTGAGAGAAACCCCATACATACAAAAATTCAATACATTTTCTTATTTTTTTGTATTTATTTCATCACAATATTTTAATTTTTAAGTATATTTAGATTAAGTATATCTAAAAAATATAATAATTAAAATATTTTAAAATTTCACTACAAAGAAAAATAAATAAATAAATTGAACACTCAAAAAAGAAATTTCAATTCAAAATCAAACAGATTACACCATTTTTTTTATTTTTAATAAAAAAATTATATACCAAACCAAACCAAACGAAGCCTTAAGTCCCATCAAATGGGGTCGGCTACATGAATCCTTCTTCTCCACGCGGCCCTATCAAAAGCCATTTCATTAGTCAAATTAAGTAGATTCATATCTCTATTTATA